GGGGAGTGGGGGAAAAGAGGTGTGTGGGGGGCAGGCAGAGAGGCAAAGGAATGGGGGGCAGGTGGAGGATTATGGTGGAAAGGGGAGGGACCTGGAGGGCCAAGCTTGGAGTGGTGGGGGGCCTTGGGATGGCTGGCAGAGGGTAAGATGTGAGGTGACATTAACTCTTCCCCTGCTCTCTTCTGGAATCACAGTCCAACCCAGACAACCCGCCCTCCCCCATCCCCACTGGTACTTGTCGCCCGCTCTGTGGCCTGCCTCTGCCAGTCCCTGGGCTAAGGGGCTTTGAGCCGCCATTTGGGCTGACTACAGGCCAAGGGTTTTGTATGTGGGTTAGGGTAGGAGCCCTCTACCTCACCTCCCTCCCCCTGGGGTTCAGGTGCAGGCAGCATTTACACTGGGCAGCATTAGCCATGACTGCATTTCAGGTTACTCTGGATTTACTCCTGGGGGTAGCTGGGAGCAATAGGTCACTCTCCAAACTCCATTATCTTTGGAGTCATGTTATCTACTCTGGATTTACACCTCCAATTGAAGGGGCTACTTTTGGTGTTGGTCACCTCTTGATTTGCACTAGGGTTACTACAGATTTACATCTGCTCCTCTGGATTTACATCCTGCCCATGCTCAGGTGTGCTGTAGGGGCTGGAAGTTGGCTTGGGTTTGCACCAGGGAGTAGCTGAAGGTGGAGAGGGCAGGTACTGTGGAGAGAGACTTGTATGTTTACAAAGGGGTTAGTCTGGATTTACACTGGGAATACTTAAGGGCAGCTCCCTGATGCTCCCCATTTTCAGATATTTTTCAAGTTTGCTGCTGGGTTACTTGGGATTTCCACCAGGAAGAGCAGAGGGATCCGTTGCCCTCCCCCATCAGATTTACGTTGGGGTTTCACAGGCTAGCTCAGAGCTACGCTGTTTTCTCTCACTTTTGGGTTTACTCCTGGGGAGGACAAGGGCTAATCTTCCTCCTCTTTAGGGTTACATCAGGATTACTCTGAACTTGCACCAGGAAGTAGCGGGGGAGTAGAGGGCTGATTATCAACCCCTTTAGGTTTACACCCAGGAGTATGTTGGAACTAGCCTCTGTTCTCTCACCTTCGGGTTTCCTTGTGGAGTCCTTTGGGCCTCTCCCTAGAGGGGAGCTGAGACTTGCGAGCTCAAAGGCAGAGTGGTTGTTGAAGGCTGGCCATGGGGCTGTGCCAGGGATTGGAACAGGAGAGCGTTGGAGGTGGGGATGAGGGGGGCAATCTCGCCCATGGCTTTTCTGGTGTCCCAATTGCCCTCCTCCTAATCCGTGGGGTTCTGCACAGGGGGTCCCAAAATGGCCTCAAGATACATAGCTGAGGCAAAGTGTGGGACTGGGCTCTGCTAGTGAAGGTGCTTTTTAGGGTTTAGCTGGGGGTAAGGGGTGGACCTGGGGTGCATTGGGGAGTTTATGGGGGTACCCTGGCTAGGGATGCCAGATGGTTTCAACAAAAATACCGGACATCACATCACAATGCCATTACATCACAATCTACATTACATCTTATTTAGAAAATACAGACATTTCTATTTTCTCAATTTGTTTCCCAAACAGAAAGCTCAAATACTGGACTGTCAGGTTCAAAACTGGACACCTGGAAACCCTAGGAGGGTACAGGAGGGAGGGGTAGATCTGGGGGTGCTTTGAGGGTGCATGAGGTACGTGGCTGGGGATGCAGGGGGGGTGGGGTGGATCTGGAAGTCCAGTGGAAGGTGCTTGAGGGTATCATCACATCCCTGCTCCTCTGCCCCCATGTCTACTCTCTCCCTTCATCCGTACTCCTTCCTGCCTCTCCCAGTGAGGGAGGATTGAGGGATCTGACCCACTGAGTCTGAGGAAGGCACAGATCCCAGTGCCTGGAGGGGGAACATCCTGCACCCCCTTGCTATGTGAGCTGGGGGACATATTGGTGTTCTCCTCCCCCACTGGGGACCCCAGGTCCCTCTCTCCCTCCATGCAAGAGTTGTCCTGTAGGGTTAGACTGTGTTGGGGGAAGGTACCCCCTGCTTATTAGAGAATGGAGGGGCTGGGAGTCAGACACCTGGGTTCACTATCCAGAGCCAAGGAGAGGGGGCTGGTAGTTAGAGCAGAGGGGTTGGGAGCCAGGACTTCTGACGTCTAATCCCCATCATGCCCCATCCAGTCCTTGCAGCCCCCCCATTTCTCAGGCTCCCCTAATTTCTACTCCCCCATGGCAGGATGCCCCCCAAACCTTTTACCCCACCTGGGAGAACCACCTATCCTGGGAGGCCTGTACTGGGGAAATGACTGGGTATGTGCCTCTCTTGCCCACAAGCCAAATCCTGCTGCTCTGACGTCTAATCCCCATCATGCCCCATCCAGTCCTTGCAGCCCCCCCATTTCTCAGGCTCCCCTAATTTCTACTCCCCCATGGCAGGATGCCCCCCAAACCTTTTACCCCACCTGGGAGAACCACCTATCCTGGGAGGCCTGTACTGGGGAAATGACTGGGTATGTGCCTCTCTTGCCCACAAGCCAAATCCTGCTGCATGGGCTCCCCCC